CACGTGGAAAATAATTAACCTTGGCTACTTTAAATATACATTAATTAATTTTCTTTCGCAAATCGACGACGCAAATACTGTAAAGTAAACTGGAAAAAATGTGAAGTTCACTGGAATGGAGTACAAATGTTGAGACGAACATTTAGAATGGGAAAAATGTTTGTCTGAAAATGAAACGCACAGTGAAATTACATTCGAAATTATTTCACTTTATTAAAACAATATCAAATTTTTTCCGGACTCATTCACATAGCCATTTCAAATAAATCTTGAAAAACTGTCTCAAGGTTCTTCTTCTTCTTCAAAATGATCTATAAAACTGTTATTCAACATTGATTAATGTAATAATTTCAATCGATACCAATTTACTCTTTTCATTTTTACTCTTGAGAGCGTCACATCTATTTGAATACATGCCAAATGGTGCCAACTCTCCGCCGAAATAATATATTTGGTGAAAAATCTTTTTTCTTGCGGTTTTCGACAAGCGGTACAAAAATCAGTACAAACTTCGTAGAAGTACATAAAGCTAAATAGCGGTCGGCAGCATTATGCATGTTATGTCAAATAGTTTGTTTTCCGTTGGAATAAATGGAGCACGTGCTTTCATACCCCTCTTATTCCAACAGTATATTAAAGATTATTACCTTTTATTAAATAAGCTTGGATTGGTTTCATTTTGTAGAACATTATCGATGTAGGTTTGATTTAGATTCCACAACGCTAAATTTTGTGCATTATTTATCGGCTGTGGTAACACTGGTACTATTATCGGCTGTAGTGGCGGTAGTGGAGTTGTTGTCGGCGGTGGTAAAATTAGTGGTCGTGGTGCTACCCGTTGTGGTCGTCCTTTTTTTTTATTTTTATTTTTTTCTTGTTCTGCAGGGTGCTTTCTTATATTCTTTGCTTCCAATGTGGCATCAAACCTGTTATTTTTACGTCAAAAAATTTCATTTCCTTATATTTTCCAATAAAGCATTAAAAATTTACTTTGGGCCATAGTGCCTGTAATGAACTCGATACATTTTCCCGTCTTGAATACACTCTTTAATTTTAGCGTCATACCATATCTTATCAATAGGATCTCTTGCTAACACTCTATCATCTATTTTTTGTAATACAGAAAATTATTCCAAGTTCCAGTGTAAATTAAAATTTTCTAATGTCTAACTTCTATAGTACTCGCAACCGAAATCGATGGGTTTTGGTTGTGGTTTCCTCTCTCTTAAGTCATATCCATGTGCCATATCTACTTTCTCTATTAAATTTCGTTAAAATAAATTCACTGATCAAAATTTTGCTTCCGAATCAAATTACGTTCACTTTTATACTTATAGGCAAAGGCCTACTATATTCACCACATTGAAATATTGAGTGCATTTGAAATTTCAACGAATACTCGATTTTCATCGAATACTTGATTTAAATTCATCATATTAACTGAATTCTAGTTAACGCGAATTTCTATAGGAAAACCAGGGCATAAAATTAACTCAGCCTGGATAGCGGAATATCATGTCCTGATTTTTCAAAAGTTTCATCAATTTAATAGAAAATTCATTTGAAAAAAAAAATCAGAATGACTCATTTGAAAAAATGGCTTATTTGAAAATATCCATAACCAATGGTAATTTACCATTAAAACACAACTAACCAGAAAAAAACTGGGGTTTTCACTCAATTTTGAGATTTATTTTGTCAAAAAAATTGAAGTCAATCTTGAAAGTCGAATATGAATTTAATGTTGCAGAAAGTTCAAAGACCTCCACTTTAAGTTTATTCTGAATCTTATTATTTTCCAAAAAAAAATGTTCCTTTAACCTTAAAATATGAATTCAATTCAAAATGACGAGTTTTTCTCCTTCAGTTATTATGCAGTGGTAATTTCAACAGTAAACAAGATGCTTCAACAGGAACCGACTTTACTGACGCAAAGCAGCCGCCACCTTCGTCCTGCATTTGTCAAACAAACGTAAGTACAATCACGCAGCCTCTTGCTTCTCACCATTTTCTGGCTTATTTTTTTCAAATCGATATATAAAATGCATGTGTTTTTTCTAGTCCCAGGAACAAATGCCATCGGATAACGTACGAAAAACGTTACTATCGATGTCAAAACACAGCTGCTTCGATGAACAAGGTCGACAGTGTTTGCTGCAAGTCGTTTCATTGCTAAACAATTTGGAGGCAATGTCACAAGATGATAACGAATTTTCACTTGATGACGAACATTTCAGCCCGTTGAATGTGAGTATTTCCGGTTTTTCGTTGAAAACATTTGAAAAATTTCAGTTAAACAGACATTAATTCATGATGAAGATGCTAAAGAAATATTTTTTATTCCTCCCACAGGAAAAGATTCTTCGATTCTCATCGCCGGATCATCTTAAATCATCAACAGTGTCATCATCACAATCATCACCGATGCGTAACTACGATCGTGCCGTCGCGTGTGTGCAACCATACAGCAGTCATCAAACGGACGACACAATTTCCGGTCATAAATTGGTTGCGCAAAAATTGTCATCGAGTCATTCATTCACAAGTAGCATGAACGAAAGTGGTGTATTCGATGGTGATTCAACGCTTCCAATAATGGATAATCA